AGAAAATATAATATTGGATTGGGTAGAAAATGTTTGACCTTTAATATTGTGACGAGAAATTTTTGGGTAGATAAATTGTGTTCAAAAATATCCTAGTCAAGTGAAAGTGGTCAGAAATATTTGAAGGGGTTCAGACTGGTAAGAAATATTTGAAGTGTGTCAGACTGGTAAGAAATGTTTGAGCCAAGTCAAACTGGCCAGAAATATTTGAGGTGTGCCAGAGTGGCTAGAAATATTTCAGTGGTGTGACATCACTCGGATATGTTCTGAGCATGTCACACTGCTGAAAAATCTTTTAGCCTTGTCACATGGCTCAAACATATCCGACCAGTGTCACAGGGTATCTGGGGTCCCAGTTTCAAGAAAAAAAACTTGGTATTGTTGGTATAGCTTTCTCAATATTTTGCACATTGCTTTTCTTTTCTTTATCCAGATCACAACCCAATGTTTTGTCCATTTCAAACCATGTATGGTTCTATTCTATAACAGCTACTGAGGTTGAATTGAAGGGTGAAGAAAGGAGGGTTGGCAAAGGAAGTTGTCCACTCTTAATGTGAACTCATATAAGTTAGCATCACCCAGCAGCTTTCCCCCATTGTTTTCACCAACACCCCCCTTCTATCTGCCATGTTCACCATTTAAAACTCATCCAAGTTAGCATCCCCAGCAGCTTTCCCTCATTATTTTCACCAACACCCCCTTCTATCTGCCATGTTCACCAATCATCCGAGTTAGTGTGACATATCTCCAGTGCCTGTACAAGTTTCCTAGGTAATTTCCCTCTTACAACATTATACCTTGCCCTCTTCTTTGGATTGTTTTATTTTTGCTTACTTAATGACCATCACGATTCAACTCATATTCATTGTACCACCACTATGTTCGCTCATCGAGCAGCTGTGTCATATCATGTCCTCCATTAGAGTCAAAGTAAGTGATTCAAGTTTGTAAGGTCATTGAATATTCTCCTAGAGGTATTCAAACTTTCATCAGTCCCAATCCTTGAACTCTACTTCCTTGAGGATTTCCAAAGGAAGAGCAGAGGTTGCGCAACAGACCTCCACAAGAGTTCATGAACTGAAGACTAAGTTGCTTGAAGCACGATCAGTCCTCACACCATAGTAATAGGATCAACATCCTCGTTTGCCAGACCCTACGTTGTCAATTTGACCACCCACTCCTACTGTACCTCACAGGACACCTATTACAGTTAGCATCCCCCAGCAGCTTTCCCCCATTGTTTTCACCAACACCCCCTTCTATCCGCCATGTTCACCATTTAAAACTTATCCAAGTTAGCATCCCCCAGCAGCTTTCCCCCATTGTTTTCACCAACACCTCCCTTCCATCTGCCATGTTCACCATTTAAAAGAAACTCAAACCTTTCTTAACTTGTCAAAACTATCCAAAAGATTTCATAAAGATTTCATAGTTTGCAAAACCATTTCTTGCTCCCAAATATTTATTTAAGAGAATTCTTCGCAAGCTAGACATTTCCAAATATGACAAGAAATATCTCACAAAGATTTCTTGTCAGTACAAACATTTTGAAGAAGATTTCTTATCTAGTCAAAGATCTTTGAACTTGTAAACATTTCCAAGTACAATAAGAAATATTTCACAAAGATTTCTTGTCAGTACAAACATTTTTGAAGAAAATTTCTTATCCAGTCAAAGATCTTTGAACTTGTAAACATTTCCAAGCACAATAAGAAATATTTCACAAAGATTTCTTGTCAGTACAAACATTTTTAAGATTTCTTATCCAGTCAAAGATCTTTTGACTTGATAAGAAATACTTGGGGTTACAAAGATATATTTAGCTATATCCTGAACAGGATATATCTTTCAACTATTCTTGAACCAGGATAAAGGTGCATTTTATTCAATACAACTACATAGATTTACATTACTACATTAAATATTAAATAAAGGGAAAAGGGAGTGAGGGAATGGGGGGGGAGTGAGGTGAATGGGGGGAGTGAGGTGAATGGGGGGAGTGAGGGAATGGGAGAGGGAGGGAATTGGGGAGGGAGTGAAGGGCCATAAGGGAATGGGGGGGAAGGCAGTGAGGAATCATGGGCAATGGCTGAGCCATCGCCGCCGTTTGTAGGTGGTGTTGATGGGCACTCATCTTCGTTTCTTAACGGTGGTCGGCGCTTGGCAGGTCTCATGGTGGTCGGCACTCGGCGTGTCTTCGTCGTAGTCCATCCGTCGTTTGCTGGCCATCCGTGTCGTTCTTGCATCGGAGTTGTGTTAGCTATGCGGGTGGCGATAGAGGCGGGGCGTGCTCACCGTGTTTGATATACAATGACGACGACGATATGATTGTCGTCATCATCGTCATCGTCGTCCGTTGTCCTACGTGTGGCCTGGCTCCCACGTGAGGTCGTTCGTGGCTCTGGGGCCATGGCGTGCGTTTTTCGTGGGCGTTGCGTGACGTGGCAGGGTGCCGAAGTGTCGTGGAGCGTCGTAGTTGTGGTGTGGTTGTCGTGGTGTGTCATGGTGAGGTGGTTGTCGTGATGTCGTGATGTTGTGCCAGACACTTCGCAGCCTTGTTAGCGAGTTGGTTCAGGACGAAGGACGGAGGTGCTCACCGTCATAGTATAAACAACATAAACAAAAACGACGGACGACGAAATGTCGTCGTCCGCCGTTTGGTTGCCACGTCGCCAACAGCGACGTGGCACCTGGCATCGTCCTCGGAAGACGAAAGGGAGGGAGATGGGTGGGTGCTCACCAACGTCGTGTTGTCCACCATCGTTGTTGCCACGTTGTGGTCGTGACGTGTCATGGTCATTCGTCGTCGTCGTCCCTCGTCCATCTGCGTTGCACAACGTCGCTGACGGCGATGTCGCTCGATTTTCGTGGGCACTGGTCGATTTTCGTCAGCGCTGGTCATCGACTGTCGTGGGCGCCGGTCGTCGTTTGCCCATCGTTTGCCCGTCGTTGTTTCCGTTGGCTGTCGTGTCGTTGTTGCTAGGTGTCGTGGGGCCTTCGCCGGTTGTCGTCCTTTGCCGGTTGTCCTCGTTGCGGGTGGCAGTTGTTGCCGTTTGTGGGCAGCCGGGGTCGTTTGTGGTGGCTTGTGCGAGGTGGAAGTCGTGGGTTGGTGTGGAGTCGTAACGTCACAAAGTCACAGCGTGTGACATTCACATCAACGTTCAAGTTCACGCCCAAGTCTGTAGCGCCCACTGGTTCTAGTTATAGTCTACTAGGTAATTTTGTACTCATTACAGAGATTTGTAGTGTCTGCTGTTTGGAAAGAGAAAATTTTGTTGTGTCTACTTTTCAGGACTACCAAAATTTGCATTTCTCATTACAAAATTTTGCAGTGTTCGCTTTTGGGACAACAAAAACTACAAAAAATTGTATTCTCTTCTTTTATCATTACAAGGTTTTCTAGTACAAGCTTTTTGAGACTACCAAAACTATACTCTCCTCTTTTTTCATTACAAAAACTTGTACTGTTCAATTTTTTCATCATAAAATGTTGTATACCAGCTTTTTGAGACTACAAACTTTTGTAGTTCCAGAATCTTAGGAATACAAAAGTAGTGTCCACATTTCAGACTACAAAGATATGTACTGGTATCTTGTAGTGTCCTTGACTCTGAGTAATTACATGTGGAGATAGTTCAATGTTCAGAGGAGTTGATTCTAGTCACATAGCTCTGTCATTCAGCCTTGGTACCTGGTTGACCTAGATATCTACTCCTTGTCTGTAGTCAGCCTTAATATCATCTATTGGAGGGGTTTGAATTTTCTGACATCTCAGTGTAAGTTGTCCTGTCTTTCTATTTTATTCCTCTGTCATAGTCATATGGAAGGTACAAAGACTGAATTATATAGGGCTATGTCACCCTCTCTGAAACATTGAACTGTATCCTCAATACAAGTTCTTGCAGCCCTAAGATTCTGAGACTACAAGAGTTTGTAGTCTCAAAAGCTGGTACACAAACTTTTATACTGAAACATTGAACTAGATCCTCATTACAAGTTTTTGTAGCCCTAAGATTCTTGTAGTCTTAAAAAGCTGGTACACAAAATTTTATAATGAAAAAGCGAACAACAACATTTCATAACGGACTACTAGATGCAGTGGGCGCTATGTACAGTGAGCGTGATCTTACGCGTGAACTTGAACATGGTTACGACGTCACACACCGTGACTTTGTGACGTTCCTTCTTCAACAACCACCACCACATCGTCGACGCCAGCGACTCCACCTCACCACCACGTCGCCGCCATGCCACGGCAACGTTCACCACTGCAAACAACCCTCGCCGCCCAAACCCAACAACCACCGCCCAACAACCACACACAACGAAGACAACAATCCAAACGACGACCCACGTCCAACAAGCGATCACACGAAGGGTGACCAGCGACCACGAAAAACGACGAACGACCAAACGAGTGACCAGCGGACCACGACCGCCCAACGACGACGACAATCAGCAGCAAGCCAGGCCACGTCGCAGTCAGTGACGTGGCAACCGTCACAGACGGACGACGACGTATGACAACTACGGTAAGTCCCTCCCCACCCTCTTTTCTGACATAACTAACAAAACACCCCACTGTCCAGCCCTTTACGGGTAGCATACCCTACGTCGCCATCCCACCCCGCCCTCATGCTGCATGTCAGCGGCCACGTCACAACGCGAAACGACACCGGGCAGGCAGACGCCAATCAACGGTGTGACGAGGACACCGAAGGGCGAAAGACAGATGATGGCGAACAGACGACAACGACGAGGGCGTATGAACGACGGACAAGGAGGAGGAGGAGGGCGGACAAACAATGAGGAGGAGGAGGAGGGCGGACAAACAACGAGACGACGAGGGCGTACACACGACGAGGACGTGCGTACACACGATGAGACGACGTGGGCGTACACACAATGACGACGATGACCAGGGCGTACACATGACGACGACGACGTGAGCGTACACACGACGAGACGACGTTGGCCACGACGACGACGACGAGGAAGAGGCCGGACAAACAACCAGACGACGAGGGGTACAAACGATGGACGGCGACGACATTGAGTGCCCACCACCACCCACACCCGGCGACGAGGTTCAGTACTCCACCCTCACCCTGTCTCTCTCACTGCCCACCACCCCCTCTACCTTACTGCCCACCACCCCCTCTCCCTCACTGCCCACCCCCCTCACTCTCCCTCACTGCCCACTACCCCTCTCCTTCACTGCCTACCACCCCCTTCCCCCCTCCCTCATTGCCTACCAACCCCCTCCCTCATTGCCTACCACCCACCTCCCTCCCCCCTCTCTTTCCCCTTTCCCTGCCACCTCTCTCATTGCTTACCACCCCATTCCCCTCTCTCTCATTGCCCACCACCCTCACCCCTCTTCCTCACTGCATCTCCCTCACTCCCTTTTCCCTTTATTTAATATTTAATGTAGTAATGTAAATCTATGTAGTTGTATTGAATAAAATGCACCTTTATCCTGGTTCAAGAATAGTTGAAAGATATATTCTGTTCAGGATATAGCTAAATATATCTTTGTAACCCCAAGTATTTCTTATCAAGTCAAAAGATCTTTGACTGGATAAGAAATCTTTGTGAAATATTTCTTATTGTATTTGAAAATGTTTACAAGTTCAAAGATCTTTGACTGGATAAGAAATCTTTGTGAAATATTTCTTATTGTGCTTGGAAATGTTTACAAGTTCAAAGATCTTTGACTGGATAAGAAATTTTCTTCAAAAATGTTTGTACTGACAAGAAATCTTTGTGAAATATTTCTTATTGTACTTGGAAATGTTTACAAGTTCAAAGATCTTTGACTAGATAAGAAATCTTCTTCAAAATGTTTGTACTGACAAGAAATCTTTGTGAGATATTTCTTGTCATATTTGGAAATGTTTAGCTTGCGAAGAATTCTCTTAAATAAATATTTGGGAGCAAGAAATGGTTTTGCAAACTGTGAAATCTTTATGAAATCTTTTGGATAGTTTTGACAAGTTAAGAAAGGTTTGAGTTTCTTTTAAATGGTGAACATGGCAGATGGAAGGGAGGTGTTGGTGAAAACAATGGGGGAAAGCTGCTGGGGGATGCTAACTTGGATAAGTTTTAAATGGTGAACATGGCGGATAGAAGGGGGTGTTGGTGAAAACAATGGGGGAAAGCTGCTGGGGGATGCTAACTGTAATAGGTGTCCTGTGAGGTACAGTAGGAGTGGGTGGTCAAATTGACAACGTAGGGTCTGGCAAACGAGGATGTTGATCCTATTACTATGGTGTGAGGACTGATCGTGCTTCAAGCAACTTAGTCTTCAGTTCATGAACTCTTGTGGAGGTCTGTTGCACAACCTCTGCTCTTCCTTTGGAAATCCTCAAGGAAGTAGAGTTCAAGGATTGGGACTGATGAAAGTTTGAATACCTCTAGGAGAATATTCAATGACCTTACAAACTTGAATCACTTACTTTGACTCTAATGGAGGACATGATATGACACAGCTGCTCGATGAGCGAACATAGTGGTGGTACAATGAATATGAGTTGAATCGTGATGGTCATTAAGTAAGCAAAAATAAAACAATCCAAAGAAGAGGGCAAGGTATAATGTTGTAAGAGGGAAATTACCTAGGAAACTTGTACAGGCACTGGAGATATGTCACACTAACTCGGATGAGTTTTAAATGGTGAACATGGCAGATAGAAGGGGGTGTTGGTGAAAATAATGGGGGAAAGCTGCTGGGGATGCTAACTTGGATGAGTTTTAAATGGTGAACATGGCAGATAGAAGGGGGGTGTTGGTGAAAACAATGGGGGAAAGCTGCTGGGTGATGCTAACTTATATGAGTTCACATTAAGAGTGGACAACTTCCTTTGCCAACCCTCCTTTCTTCACCCTTCAATTCAACCTCAGTAGCTGTTATAGAATAGAACCATACATGGTTTGAAATGGACAAAACATTGGGTTGTGATCTGGATAAAGAAAAGAAAAGCAATGTGCAAAATATTGAGAAAGCTATACCAACAATACCAAGTTTTTTTTCTTGAAACTGGGACCCCAGATACCCTGTGACACTGGTCGGATATGTTTGAGCCATGTGACAAGGCTAAAAGATTTTTCAGCAGTGTGACATGCTCAGAACATATCCGAGTGATGTCACACCACTGAAATATTTCTAGCCACTCTGGCACACCTCAAATATTTCTGGCCAGTTTGACTTGGCTCAAACATTTCTTACCAGTCTGACACACTTCAAATATTTCTTACCAGTCTGAACCCCTTCAAATATTTCTGACCACTTTCACTTGACTAGGATATTTTTGAACACAATTTATCTACCCAAAAATTTCTCGTCACAATATTAAAGGTCAAACATTTTCTACCCAATCCAATATTATATTTTCTCCCAAGGCAAGAAAAATAAATGGCCACACAACCTATTAGCCTGGATACATTCTTACATTTTACAAGGCTAATAGCTTGTTCAAGGTGGGTGACTGAAGTGCACATGCCACGCAAATCGACCATAGTCACTGTGACTCGGCCTGATTGGAGTTGATTTTCACTGGGGCTGAAGGGTTAGCCAAATGACACCAAATTATGACGTGCACCAAGGATCGTCTGAACCCCAGTGCAGGTTCAGATGATCCTTGGCGCATGTCATCACTTAGTCATCATTTTTAGCGAAAATGAAGATTTATATGTAGCTCTGCCAAATCTGGTCCAAATGACATGGTTTTTTTTGCAGTATGCACTCCTTAATGGTAGGATCATTTTGAAATGAGGATAAATGTAGGTAAATACAAAT